TGAAGGTTATAAACTAGTGTGAGGAATTAGAATTATGATTTATCGTTGATTGTTAAGGTAAGGAATTAGATTTACGATTTTCATCATGAACTAACATCAGCTATCATGTCAAAATTCTATTGAGCTAAATGAATGAGTGATTTTTGTGCCAAAATCCAAGACGTATTATCTTATACCTGATTAGTCTCGCCAATATTAACCAAGATACCTTTCCTGACTAAATCATAAACTGAAAAAAATCAATATAATCATCTTTTACACTTTCATTCTTACTATCATCCTATTTCATTTTTATTCCATGAAATTGTATTATTGAAAAATTTCAAGCATCTAGCTTCTATCATAAATTTTAATAGAATAACTCTGTTTTTTATTGTTCCACCAAACTCAGAAATTTGTAATCACTAAGAGAACCGGATAGTTGACTAATATGATTAATTATATGAAGCTATAAAAAATTGTTAACATTAGAATTATTATGATTCAGATATTATCCTCTATATGTATGTAAATTAAAGGTTGAGCTTAAGAATACAAAAGAATAAACATATGTATATATTGCCAGTACTGATGCACAAACGTGAAAGGGTAATATTTATTCCAAATTGAACTGATTTATACGAGGATATAAATCATAACTGATATTCTAATGGTTATACGAGAAATACGTTTTAGATTAAATAAACTTTGCGAAATTATAACAAATTCAGATAAAATAAATGAGCTTATGAACAATGGAATGTAATACAATAAAGGTGTATATACGTTGACCATATATCTAATTGTCTAATGTAGTGTTAAAGATGAATTATTGTGGTTTTGTCAATGAAATCTTAAGAAATTCTCTAAGCTATCAGAGTGAAAATTCACTTAAGACAATGAGATTAAAGTCATAGTTTAATAAAATGTTTTAGCGACAGTGCAACAGATTAAATGATTAGTAATTTGACTGTGTAATGTATTATTTGTATACAAAATAGTTTGACTTCAAGTAAGTTGTAATTGAACAACAATGTATGTTGAGGATTGAAAAGGAAGATCACGCTGACTGGATAATCTTTCAGCCCTAAACGATTATATATCTAATGAGTTATCAACGCAAAACCAACTTATATTTAAATTAATAAAACTAAGCTAACTTCATTGGTTCATGATCCAGTTAGTCGCATAAATATCAGAATAAGCATAAATTTTTTAAACGTTTAGGTATACAATTCACCTAATGTGCGATTTTTCGTTGATGTATTGAAAATATGCTAATAATGAAAAGAGCATAGTAAAATCTCTATATGCAGTATTCTCCCTTAAAAGAAATATGTTTTTGAATGCATATGCCTTTAATGAAATGCAGAAATTTCGGACCATATGAAAGATGATAAATATAATATCTAATGGCTTTAGCTAGAACTATATTTGATATGGCTGTTTTCTACTCAGTTGTGGTCATCACACGGTATTTTCACATATATATTTGAAACAAATTGATCTTTTGGGAGACAACAGATAGGTGATATGCAATTTATAACTGCCCTAAGGATCTCCTATCGAATTCGATATGTCCATTATCTTACGAAATAATATAAAATCGATGGTTTAGTTTCTTGTCGAGATATTGTCTTTTGTATTCAGTATGTGAAAGTATTGACGACAAAACTAGATTTCGTGAGTTTATCTTGACTAACAATCTTCCAATTAACCGTCGGTTACAAAAGTAACCCGATTTCTGGATCATAGAATTGCAGATTTGGGCCTCCTGAAACATCTGTTAAGCTGTTCAGACGAATAACGTTTTTAAATACTAGTCCTAATGATACGTTAGAGTGATTTATTGAACTGACGTTTCGTGTCTGAATTGTTTCACACCCGTTAAAGTCTACAGGTTAACTAAATCCAATGGATTCTTAGTACCAATATCGTCATAAGCTTAAATACCACCCATATTTTTCGAATGATGTCCCCACAGTTATGCAAATTACTAGTGGTTTTAAATACAGTAGATGGACTCAAGGGCTAAGACGTGTCAGAACTACACAGTAAATCTAGAGCGCAAAATATGGATCGCATTATGCCGATTACTGCTGCTCAATTAGCATGTGTACCAATGGACTCACCTTATATGTTGATTCTAATATTCTCTAAAAAATTAAGTTTTTATACTCTCTATAAACTTATTAAAACTCCGAAAAATAACAGTTGTCGCATTTAATTACTGAACACTAAAGATAGGTGAAAACCAAATTGGAATCTTTTATGCTTAAACTACTTAGAACACTGCCATAACAGGGTGAATATTAAGCAAAGCTGAACCTTCTAGCTGTTTTACGTGAAGTTATTTTTCATGTTTTTGTTGTACAATTACTGAATACTTGAGTCGTTGTAACTTTGAATTGCTATAGTTGTTGTGTTTCACCTGTCACAGGTAATCGTCAATTAATTACAGACCTATAACATAGTTCTCTTCAACTTATGACATAAATGTGTTTGTATTGTAATTTCTTATTAGTGTTAATCTATGATCAGGATTTTACTTTACTATGTGAGTTGAGTCATAAATGTGTGCTGTCTAACTGGCGGTTATCTGATTGCCGTGTTATGCTCTGTTTTGGATATCGGAAGAGCAAGCATGAGAGAACTGTATTCTATGCCAATAATCGTTGAGCATTGTTCTCTGCTATCGTCTCACTGGAGAAATCTTCAACACACTGAATGGATCATACAAAGGCTCTACAGTAATAATTTCTGATCAAATAGATCTTAAAATAACTCAAGCGTCTGTTATTTCGTTCACATTAAATATCTTCCACTGCAAAAGACGTGACATCTACAATTCTGAAACATATATATAATCGTAGTTGTGGAATATTTTTGACAATTTCTGACTATATTTTTCATGTCCTATTATTTTTATTAATTAAAGCTGTTTCTTCACAAAAATGTTTTGTGGCAAGTATCCTGAAAACAGCATTGTCCCTTAAGTTCCTCTCTCTAATCATTCAATTTTCATGTGTTGTACATTGTTATAACATTGTAATAAAGGGTCAGTCAGAATAATTTGTGATTCATGTCTTTTAGAATAAATAATACTAGATTCTTATTGAAGTCTGCTCTTTTGTATTAATCTGATCATGTTTGTAAATTGCTTTGCACTTTTTCAAAACATAGTATTATTATAAGCAAAGATGGATAGAAGCTAGCGGTGGAATCCAGGACACGGGTTTTGTCCTATTCGGGATTTGTTTTTCTATTTCTTAAAATAATGAGTGGACGCGGTAAAGGTGGCGAAGTTCGTAGTAAGGCTAAGACAAGGTTATTTAGTTATTTATTCAAGCACATAAACATTGGTACAAGAAGGCAACAAATAGATATGCGTCACATAAATCATTCGATCTGTGTAAGAGCTGGGATACTGTCTGGGTGTCAAAACCGAAGGTAATGGTTTTCTTAAGGGTGCACACACACAGCCTTTGACCTATAGGCCTGATCTACAAGACAGTGGAACAACATAAAGAAATGCAGTCCCATGGTAGCCGGTGACCAACTATTGGCTCATACGCCATTTGTTCCTTCAGGATACTGGAGCCCATGTGCACTATTGGTTTGGAATCAGGGTTTCCGAACCCCCCTAGAGAGATGTTACATATCCACCAATCCGGTTAAAGCACCAGATAGTCGCTATCCGTTCTCTCATTTTCGTAGACAACAGCCCTGCCGTGAGAAGGAAGTGAGTGGGAATTCTCTGGCAGTGGTTGTATGCATATGTATTGTGAGAGTATTTGGAGAGAGAGAGTTGACTCTCCCCACTCTCGGCCGTATCAAGTCAGTGCGTGCAGGTCTTCAGTTCGCTGTTGATCGTGTACATCGTCTTCTACGTAAGGGAGAGTTGGTGCTGGTGCTCTAGTTAATCTAGCTGTGGTTCTCGAATACCTAGCTGCAGACGTTTTGGAGTTAGCTGGTAATGCCGCTCATGATAACAAGAAGACTCGCATAATTCCAATACAGTAGCTAAGTAGATAACGCGATGACGTTTTAAGCGAACGGTACTTGATTCGAGTCCCACAGTGAACATCAATTCTGAGATACAGGTACATCCAGCGGACCAGTCCCAAATAGGATGAAACGCGCGTTCTGGATTGCACTGCTAGCCACTATCCATCCTTGCTTATAATGCTTGTGCATTAAGGCAATATCGAGGCAAATCACACAGAATGCACGTATGCCAATAACAAACTGATCCATTGCTTTCCTAAACATCAATGAGTAGTTTCTAGTATACAATACCAAGTGAATTTATAGTTTTCTTATTTGTCAATATCTTTATAAATTTCTGGATTTATTTACTATAAAATCTAATAGGATAATTATTAACATGACTCAAATGAGTAAAGTATCAATTTGTTATGAATACAATCTTTATTATGTCTATTGTTATTCTAATAGATTAATTTTTATTTAGAATAATTAACTATATAAAATGTATTAATGAGAATAACAGAATTCATTAGTGTTCTATGACGAATATAATTCAATATAAATAATGATTGATAAATAAACAGTAACAAACCGCTCATTATCCAATATACTTAACTATTACTACTTAAATTACTTATTTTTTAAAAATCTATTTCCTTGTTTATGTTACGTATTTTCGCAACTGATAATAATTAAAATTTTTGTAACAAACTTTTATTGGTCAATGTTATTTTATTTAGATTTTCTGTTTAAATAAATTTTACAAATAATATTATCTACATTCATAGTATTGTTTCATTAGTCTTGTAACAAAAAAGGGAACCTTATTTCATCATGGGAACAAAATAATCAAATAAGTACATGTATGTATTTATGTATGTATGTATGTGTGTGCGTATGTGTATATGGATGGATGGATATATAAATAAAATACTCAAAAGGTTTTCATTTTAATTAACATAGTTAATCAGATGATAAGGTGCTACTGTTTCATCCAACCATAAATATTACTTTGTATGTAATATAAACAGTTAAACAAATGATTTTTGTACGTTTAAACATTTTAGAGAACGAGCTGATAATAAAGCTGTAGACTGTTGATTATATCCAGTAATTTGTTTTTTAATTTGTGAATTATCCTGTTGTTCATGAAATAAATTATTAGAATTAGTATCATTATTCTTAGAGGAATTGGGCATTATTTCATAGCATTCCGATTTACGTAATATTGAAGGATATTTCATTTGTTCTAATATTTGATAATCTGAAATATCATCAGGTGATAACAATATACCAGGTTTATTAGTTTTAATATCATTTTTATTACTAGACAAAAGCCATATTCTTTGTTCATTTTTATCATTTAATTGGTTATTGTATTCACCTGAGATTATGTTATGGTTTTGTTTATTATTTAGCTCTTGATATTTAGATTTGATTGTTTGACATTTCATGGCATATAAATGATCAGTATTCAACGCTATCTGTTCTTCATAAGATGGAGTAGTTTGATTCTGAACGCATAAATTATTCATAGGTCCTGTAACTATTCTCAATTCGTCACATGATTTTGACAGTGTGGAATTGTGTTTTGTAGTTAATCCTGTCTGAGATCCGTCACATACTGAAATGTCTTTGGAAATTTGTCTTGTTGTAGGTTTGAATGTTGTTGGAATCTTGAAAGGTTGTGTATTATACTTTACAGAACCATATAAAGAACTTATACTAACTGGTGAAAATCTTTGAGCCGAATTATTTAATGGATGAGTTGTAGAAGGATAAGTTGGATGGCATAAGTGATTCGCAGAATCACCTCCAAATGACTTATTAGAACCAGGATTTAGATATTTACCAGTTTGACGTCCTAAATGATGCTTCAATTTTATAAGAATAAATGCAAATTAATTGTAAAAATATATTGTATAATCCAAACAATTAATAACTTTTATAATTGTGAAAAGATTCAAAAATAATCAACGGAATTTCCGAGATACATTGCTCGTCTTCTGTTGATATCTATACATCAAGCTGATTTGGAGATTTCATTCTTACATTTAAAGATATAAATAATGATATATCATGACCCCTAGTCTACCAGGGTATATAAATTCACATGTATCTGCCAAAGCAGTTACATTGGTAGAACAGAATGGAGAGCCTATGTCCGATTCAAAGAACATCAAATAGATTGAAAGCATTCAACAGTGCCATCGCAAGACATCTCCTTGACACAGGACACGAAGTCGATACACTGAAGTCCTTCAAGGTGATTAATAAACAATCAAGCTCCAACATTCCGAAATTTGCTGAAGCATTAGCAATCAAACGTTTAAAACCAGACCTATGTATACAAAAAGAGACAGTAATAAATCATTCTTTACCCTGGTAACAATCCGCCTTGTTATTCATTTATTTCTATTTATTTATTTATTGCGTCATTATTCCAACTTTTTCTGAAGTTCAAATTACATCATACATAACTGACTGGTTTCAATTCATATTTTCTTTATTACCATTAGTCTATTTCCATGAGTTCTAATCACTATTTCAATGTCCCGGAACTTTCCCTCTCAAACTCTATTTATTCGAGACAAAATGTTATGACCTCATTAACTCTATCGGAATCTTCGCTACACCATGATACATTTATTCATCCTTAATCACCCTCTTATTTACAAGTATGTCAATATCTGTAATGGTGTTGAATTTTAAATATTTTAGGTTGTAAGCAGCTGATGTGAACCTAACGAAATAAAATGAATTCGTATTATTCTGCACCAATCTTTGCTCTTGCTCTCTTTATTGTAAAAGAATTTGAAATAAAGCTTATATGGTGAAACAGAACGTACTGCATGTTCCATGGAAATTCAAATCATTTGTAAAACTCTCAACAAAAATTCAATTCAAGTATTGGACACATGGTAATCTTAAATAAGTAATCATTCATCCTACAAGCTGATTTCAGCTAATTAAATTTTGACGCTATATCACTGAAATCTGTGCAACAATGAAATGAAATGGTAAGTTTAAAATATTCAAGTTTAGTAAAATAAAGTCTCATTATAACAAAATTCAATAGGTTTTAATTTTTATTTTACCAAATACATACATTTTCATGTCCAAAAATTATGTAGATTCTGATTTGATTTAGTATATATCATAACAAACGCTAACAAATAGAGCATATCATAACAGATTGAATAGAATGTGAGTTTTAGTAAACAGAAATTATATTTAACTCTTTTTGTTTGTTTGTTTGTTGAGTATGTAAATGTCAAATTTACAAGATAACCAACCGCAATATTTAAAGCTTGAATTCATTCACTTAAAACGAATTGTCAAATTTATTTTGCCTACAGAGATACAAGTAGATTGATAAAATTCAAAATAGTAACTGGATAATCATATTATTAACATATATTTTTGTGTAGCGTTTTAAGAAAAAGCTTACCTCTATAATTTTTCCTGATTCCATGTCTAATGTATATTCAGTACTAGGATAAGATGTCATATTCCATACAGATATTCCAGAACGATCTGTTTCTCTATCATTGTTCTTTTGTAAAGGTACTGAAAATTAATTTTTTTTTAAAAATCATATGAGTATTATTTTTATTGTTGATACAAGTACATTTTATGCACTACAAAGAATTTAAGAATTTTAAAGAAAATAATCGAGTAATCATTAAAAAACCAAACGGACTCAATTAATATTAGAAAGGGTTTTATGGATCCGTTGGCCGGACACTATCAACAACAACCTACTGTGAGAGAGAACAAGTCAGGTCCTAGCAGCGGAAGAAATCAGAAAGAAGCGTTGGAAGTGGATAGGACACACATTGAGAAAAGCACCCAACTTCGTCACAAGGCAAGCCCTCACATGGAATCTTGAAGGCCAAAAGAAAAGAGGAAGACCAAAGAACACATTACGTGGGAAATGGAGATAGACATGAGAAAATGAACAATAATTGGATGGAATTATAAAAGAAGGCCCATGACAGAGTGGGTTGGAGAATGCTGATCGGCGGCCTATGCTCCGTTAGGATTAAGTAAGTATGTAAGTAAGTAAGGGGTTTTATGGAGATTGTAGTAATTTCAATAGTGGAGATCATGAGTCAATTGAAGCTGAACTCAATTAAGCCTAGTTCCATTTCTGTGTCAGTACAAGTCACAACAATTATCCAATGATTGTATATAACATTAACATAAATATTTGACTAGAATTAGAACCAATATAGGAAGCCAAAACAAAGCTTATTAAATACTAAGTGATGACCAATTTTATTGGTCATATAGAGTCTTTATAAACATAAAACTGCTGTTATCATTAATAACGAAACTTTCCTAATTGTTTGATTCTTGATCCCTATACAGTATCTGTTTTCATTTCTTTCTTATTCCAATATTCAAACAAAATGATTGATTTCAGTCTAACTAAATAGATTACTGAGTATTGATTTCAACTATAATCTTAGACTATGTAAATTAAACATCACCAATTTAGTCTATTACATAATTTCAATACTATATAATTATTTTTCAACATTACCACTTACATCTTCTTTGTTTGATATCTGATTCAATGATGACATAAACGTAATAGTTATTTATTAGTAATCTAATAATGTTAACATTTGATTAGATAAAAAGTAGTCTGTCTACATTTATACATATAGAACACATTGAATAGAATAGAGCGAAAAGTTTTGTTTGTTCTTTTTTTTTTTAAAAAAAGAAAATTACAAAGCAACATTGAAAAAAATTTTTTTTTCTACTTTACTCAAGATTTAAATCAGAACATAAAATTAACATGGTAACAAAAATTAAATATTGACTGATAAAAATAAAAATTTCTGTTCTAACCGACCAGATATTAATTAGATTAATATCTACTGTCATTCATTATTTCATAGGATTACTTATAGAAATATAAAATGATTACATTTCCGTAACAATCATTATAGGAAATATAGAATAATGAATGTTAATGTATGATATGAATGCGAATAAGTATACATACATAATAAATAAACATTTACCAATTGTTATACTTATAAATGATTTGAAAAAGCACATGTATCCATTATCAAATAGATTATAATATGAATGAAATAATTTCAAGACATGAATGTTTTAATGAAATATACTATTGTTCTTTTTCTTTCTTTTAATTAAAATGATTGAACATAACTATGAATGAATACAATGTTGAAATTGAGCTAAGTCTTTATATGAATTTAAATATATAGACAAAATAAAAACTGAAGCGAAATAGTTCAATGGTTTGTCTTTTAGCTAATTATAGCTATATTTTTAGTAAATTATCACAGTGATTATTACTTACTTACTTACTTTCGCTTGTTACTCCCAATGGAGCATAGGCCGCCGACAAGCATTCTCCAACCCACTCTGTCATGGGCCTTCTTTTATAATTCCATCCAATTCTTGTTCATTTTCCTCATGTCTGTCTCCATTTCCCCACGTAATGTGTTCTTTGGTCTTCCTCTTTTCTTTTGGCCTTCAAGATTCCATGTGAGGGCTTGCCTTGTGACGCAGCTGGGTGGTTTTCTCAATGTGTGTCCTATCCACTTCCAGCGTTTTTTTCCGAATTTCTTCCTCTGCTGGCAACTGGTTTGTTCTCTCTCACAGTAGGTTGTTGCTAATAGTGTCCGGCCAACAGACCCGAAGTATTTTGCGTAGACAACTGTTAATAAACACTTGTATCTTCTGGATGATTGCTTTCGTAGTTCTCCAGGTTTCCACCTCATACAGTAGAACTGTCTTGATATTTATATTGAAAATCGTGATCTTGGTGTTGGTTGACAGTTGTTTTGAGTTCCAGATGTTCTTCAGTTGTACATATGCTACTCTTGCTTTTCGATCCGCGCCTTCACATCTGCATCAGATTCACCGTGTTCATCAATGATGCTGCACAAATATGTAAAAGGTTTTACATCTTCTAAATCCTCTCTGTCAATTGTGATTGGATTGTTGCATGCTGTGTTGTATCTCAGAATCTCGCTTTACCCTATGTGTATGTTGAGACCTACTATTGCTGAGGCTGCTGCTACACTGATCGTCTTCTCCTGTATTTGTTGTTACGTGTGAAACAAAAGAGTCGGATCATCTTCGAAGTCTAGATCGTCCAACTGCATCCCAGATGTCCATTGTATCCCGTGCTTCCCTTCAGATGTTGACGTCTTCATGATCCAGTCGATCACCAGGAGAAAGAGGAAGGGTGAGAGTAAGCAACCTTGCCTGATAAGGGTCTTTACCTAGAACGAGTCTGTCAATTGTCCTGTATGGATGATTTTGCAGTTTAACCCATCACAGGAATTCTGTATTACATTGACTATCTTGTGAGGCACGCCGTAGTTTCGAAGAACCTTCCATAGTGTTGTCCTGTCCACGCTATCAAATGCTTTTTCGGAGTCAATGAAGTTGATGTAGAGTGATGAATTCCATTCATTTGATTGTTCCACAATTATGCAATTCATCTTCTCAGTCTTCGGAATACATAGAATTACTGGTTCGTCACCTCTAGGTTTGTCAGTTTCGTATTTGAATAACCTCACATATGCTAACTCATATACAAATCTATTAATTCAGTACATATAATCACTGTAATATTTTGGTAGGAATAAGGTTACAGTTAACAGGAGAGAAAGTATAGAATATAATGAATTAATATTATGTGTCCTTATATGTTTTCTTTGGTCTTGAAAATGTTTCAAAATTCAATTTCTATCAGATATATTCACATTGAAATAATTTCAAAGAAACCATTTTTACAAAGAACACTTATCGATTTATTTTAATTCCATTGAGTTATGTATTATTAAACACAAAATTACAAATAGTAGTGAGGTGTTTAGCCGAATATAAAAAGTAATACTGCCTACTTCTATTGTATGCTCTGAACCAGATGGTTTTCACAACTTTCATAGTATTTCTAAACAACATCATCCGAAGATACTTTCTGGAGAGAACATGAAGACTTCAGATGAGAATCATCCAGCTAAATAAAACTCAATGTTATTGAGTTGATTCTTTTGAGTTATAAACTTCACTGGTCAAGAAATTTGTACCCTTTGTAATCCGTTCTAAAATATTTTCCTCTTATTTGTGATCAATTACAAAATGTTAACTTCCGTACTTAATCATACCTAGTTCATAAATACTAATAATGTTCCAATTGTTAAACCTAGATAAAACTTGACAAAGACTAGTCATCATTGAAATGAAATGAAAACAGAGATTGACTTTTATTTAAGTCAGATTTCATTTTTTCAGGCAACAAAGTATGAGGTTGTCATTAGGGTGGTTATAGTTTCATTTACTCTATTGATAAATTTGTAGTCTGTGACTATAAATATTTTAAATGTTATCACAATATATGCTCAATATGTCTAGGTGAACGCATTTTTTTGTTCGAATTTATAAAGATATAACATGCTGATGAACAAATTATCTCTGACTGTAACTACGTTCAAACGTAGGCCTGAACTAGTGACACCATGATGGCTAGAGTTTACTGTTACTGAAAAGGTTATCGCTGTACAAAATATTAGCTTTTATAGCCATTGACTAACAATAATAACCGATTTTACAATTTCTAAAAATAATAATACTACCAGGGGACTGGTATGTCAAATTTAATAGAGGCAATTGAGGAAAACTGTTCATTAGTGAGGGGGCAGATTTCAATTATAAATTAAAATCATAATTGTTTTTATATTGTGTAAACTTATCTATCTAGTCTGTGTAATTAATCGTTTTCAAAATTTATTAATTTACGGCTCATTATTTCCGTACTTTAGAAATGACAGATGAAGTTATAAGGTGTGTATTAATTACACTTAATATTCATGAATTTAAATTAACGACTGTAATAGGGTTCAGTTCACTCATTTACGTTCTTTAGCAAAGTTATTATATACACAACTACTGCTTATCTATCAGACTGTTTTAAAGTAAGGAAAATAGTTTCTGTTTCTTCTTTCATGTCACGTCGAAGTGAGTTAAAACGAGGTTAGCAGAATAAAATGACTCTATAATCCCAACTTGAAATATATATATACATTCATTCTCAATATAGGCTTGTTGTTAAACGCAGTAAATATTAAAAAAATGATTAGCCATTATAAACAGAAAAAAATCAAACGAACATTTCAAAATTGTAATTAAACTGAGAGGTAAAAATATAAAACTGTTTTGCGATATCTCAATGAAAATCTGAAAGCGCTGAACGACCGTTTCATCATAGTATGGGACTCCTCAGCAGTGCACATACACAACCCCTCACGCGACACTGGAACCGCGAACTTTCGGACGACTAAGCCGGCATCCAACGGTGTTTATATCTAACTTCAATCGATCCATGATCTAGCTTAGATCGACTCGTGAAATCAACTGCGAAAATACTACAACCTCCACAAATCTCCATAATGATAATATACGAATGAGTAGAAAATTTCTATAAATAAAAATATATCCATTACTAACTTTTTACTCAGTGCCCAATTTATTTGAAACTATCAAGTCCAACCTTGACATTGATACCTACAGTATGCAAAACATTCTAAAACTTATTTTCATTAACAATAAAATGATGTTAACCAACAGCGGATAATGGATAAGTAAATGTAATCATGTTTTGTCTTTTAAGCATTTCTCAGAAAGAATTCCCAATCAGATTTCTAGACTGAATTTAATCTGTTTAAAATTTTAAGTTGACAACAAAAAATCAAATAGAAATATTTCATCATTTACATTAAGTGGAATTAATACTTGCCGTATATTTCAAATAGACCACTTACTCGGGATTTCATTATGCGTCCTGGGTACTATTCGTTTCATAGCAATTACAACACCAATTAACAAGAGGCAAAGCAGTCCACCCACAGATATCAGTGCTGCCACAATAGCTATTGTACTTAAACCGTACCGCTGTTGAGACTCATCTAGTATATTAGTTGACTGATATGATTGATACGCATTATTAGTGCTGGAAACAATTTTAGGATACCGCTTTTCGAAGTCTAAGTCCTTCTTATCTTTTCCATTTAAACGTACTGGTTGAAGCCATTTAGTTGAATGCGTATCTCTAGAAACGGGCGGTGAATCAAAATCTGTGTTCTTCAGCAAATTTGTTTGTGATTCAATCGTAGAAACTTGTTCGTTAACAATGTGAATGCGAACAGCATAACGTCTTTTTAACGACTTTGTTGGATCAGTAGGACGGTCATGTGCAACAACATGTACAGTATACTGACCTAAAGGGGGTCTTCTTTACTTATCTTACATATTATTGTATGATCCAATCTAAATTCAAAGTACGGGTTGGTTTCAAGTGTAACATCTATCTGTGCGTTCTCTTTCTCATCAGCGTCGGCAAAATAATATGGGAATTCAATGCATGAATTGAACGGATCTTTAACATTTATGTTATATTTTAAGTCAACCACTGAAAGCTGTTGATGTTGTTTTGTTTGGATATGTAATCCTCCTTCTGCTCCTCCATTATACTTTAGTATTTCCCCATGGTGTAACATAATAGGTGCATTGTCATTCTGATCAATTATATTGATTGTAACACTAGCTTCATCATAGAATACGGTTCTATTTAAATGAATAGAAGAAAATTTGGATTTTGGTTTTTCATTACGAGCAATAATTATAAGTGGTATTTGTTGTATTTCTTCACGATCGAGAATTTCCTTGAATAAATAATCCCAGTATTTCTAAATAAGAAAATGGAAAGATTTTTTTTGCAGCTAAGTAGTTATTGAACAATCATTGTGAAACGATCACAAGAAACTGTTCAACCATGTTTGATATTCATGGGTGAAAAAAAATATTATAAAAAACCATTATCCAGTACTCTATAGTTTTCAAGGATACTTCAACACATTTAACTGCTTGATGAAAACGAAGTACAAATCGAGTGACCTTGACGAATTTAACTTTGTATCGTTGAATAAGTTCGATGTGGTTAACTGTCGACCTAAATGAACAAGTTACAACCACTAGTTGAACGGAATTCCTAATTTTCGTTATGTTTCCTCAAAACTTTAGTTTGCATGACCCATAAGTACTTAAAACGTCAGTGGTATTTCATAGGAAATATAACATGATAATTTTTTCTCTATGAGTTGTACAAGAACAAGATTCTTTAAGAAGTCCAGTTTTTTTGCGCATTGTTATTTCAATTGTATTTCAATTGAATTTAAATCGCTGTAGAACGGCCTAGAATGAAGAATTTGGCTTAGAGTCATTTTATCCAGTATCTAAAATAAAATATTAAAAATATGAAACCCAATCTACGCATAAATCTCGATCTCAAAGCGTATGTGAAGCATCTACAAGAAAATGGATTTCATTGGATTTGATAGCTAATTCTATAGACTTTTGGGAAAAACCCTGATAAAAATTGGCTATTCTAGTTTGATTAGTACTTACATAAGCAAAGGTCAAATGAACATTCACTTGTTACTTATTGGCTAAAGTCTAGTAAAAATACTGTTGATGAGGTATGAAGCCTTTTTGAGTTCAGATTAACGATATGATTTTGTATACGTAAAACATACTAGTGAATGTTTGTCGTCTATTGTTACTTTGACTTAGTATATTATTAAATCAGCCAATTTTATTATTAAAATTATGAACAAACTACCATCACAACAAATGATACATATACAACTTGTAATAACCTACTGTTCCACATAAATGAAATTTGATGCATTTATGTTGACTACATCGCGAATTTCATACGTAATATATCGATTTTCTTTATCTCGATCTGCATCAGTCGATTTAATTTGACCGATCAATGAATGACGTGGTAAACCTTCCGAGATATCGAAAATATAATGATGCTGTTCTAAAACTGGTGGATTGTCATTTTCGTCATCAACCTGTGGGATAAAATAAATTTCACGAAAACCGTAGTTTGTAAATTTGGAAAATAATAATTATATTTCAAATTAAATAGTTGATTTCATATTACAAATGAAAGACAACGTTATTTGATAAGAAGGTTGAAATCAATTTCTTGTGTATTATCGTTTGGTCACCCTTAGAATCTGCTCACATTTTAGTTGGTTAGATGTGGTACTGCTGTACAAATCTTAAATTATATTTTTTTTCATAATAATAAAGGTTTATCGATAATCTATTACGAGCTCGTCAAAAAGTTATCATAACTACTCACAACATAAAAATAGCTTTCATAATTTCTGTACAGATTGAGGAACATAATTTTGAAGCAGACGACAATGGTGACATCATGTAATTCAGTTAAACAAAGTATATCACTAACATAAACTAGAAGCAAAACGGGATAAAGGATTAATTACTTAGGTTCAGAAAGATAAGATTACTAAAATCAATGATGTTGGTACGAAATGTTGGACGGTGGTTAATTAGAGGTTCTTTCTTTCTCATTCATATATATGTCGCTTTGAAAATACATTCTGGTCATCACTAAGATTACTTAAAAATAATAAAATGTTTTTAGCTTTATTCTGGACATTATTATTAATAGTCAGATCACTAAAAAGGATTAGAAACGGAAAACTTCTACTATTTTATTAACGTTCTACAAAACTCTTCTTTTTTATATACTGTTATGGAATCTTTTCAATTTCACTGATTTGTCTCAAAGACACCAGAAACCTTTTCATCTATTGTTTTTTTTGTTTCTAGTTCAATAAACACCATATAGGACTTTTTTAAAAATTATTTTCTTCAAAAGAATATTTTTATTTCATCACGTACCCAAAATTAGTCATGCAAAACCTATTTTCGAGTTAACACAAATATTCTAAGGAAAATAGTGATGAGCTCATTAAATGTTTTTAACACCACATGAGTGTCCATGCATGCTTAGGTATTTATGCAAAAATTCAGTTTTTGAGAAAAATTTGAAATTTTGTTATTTCTTTTGATGTATTCAAAATATTTATTCATTATTAAACATCAAAACTTTTATTTCGTATCATTTTAACCAATTATTATCTTTAAAAATGATTGCTACAAGTGATAACATACTATCTATGCATCTACCTATAACCTAAATTTAAATCTATAGTCATGTATATATAGTTGAATTCGTGAGCTGACTAAAACTAGATCACCATGGAAAACCTAGAGGCACTGGACATCTGTTTCGTCTGAATGTAGGACTCCTAAGCAGCGCTCATCCACGATCCTTCATGAGAGACTCAAACCCAGGACATTCGGTTTCGCAGGAGAACGGTTAACCTCTAGACCACTACTAAAATCTCCACAAACCTTCATTCTGATAATAATAATAATCATGTACTCACTAGTGACTGACTTCAAAATGGATTTCCTGGAGTTCTAGAGAAAAGCCGTGATCAATGAAGTTCATCTGTGTCTTTTGTGAGGCAATGACTCACTGAAGACGATGGTGGACGGTGGCACAATTTCGCGGATTGGTTGAAGTTAGACATTAACACCGTTCGGTGCCGGCTCAGTGGTCTAGGTATTGAGCGTTCTCCCGCGAGACCGAATGTCCTGAGTTCGATTCTGCCACAAAACGAAACGGCTGTCCAATGCTTCCAGGTTTTCCATGATGGTCTAGCTTTAATCGGCTCATGAATTCAAGTATTAGATTACTACAATCATCACAAACCCTCATTCATTCATATATATATATATATATATATATATATATATATATATATATATATATATATATATATATATATATATATATATATATATATATATATATATATATATATATATATATTATACGACTTTTGTTTCAATGTTTAAACGCATTAAACTTCGACAGACTTCAGCTTTTCTCAAGACTATTCTTATTATTGTGTTTTCACTATTCATAAAAAACCAATTCAATTGTAATGCGTTCTTATAATCACAGTAATCTCTTATTCAATGTTAATGTTCTAACTTTCGAATTTATTATGGCTTTCAGTTTGTTTCCACTTTAAAACAAATACTCAAACTTTATGGTTTGTATATTTGCGTCTTAACATAATTTTTAGACCCTGATGGTGCACCAAACAGGGTAAAGAAACCTTAAACCAAGATTTCGTTATGTTTGTCAGCACTTAGCCATTATCAAGGGAAATATATCTTCGGATGGGATTGGAAACCTCGTCACCCTGACTCACAGTCTGTAATGTTACCAGTGAACTATCCTGATAGTCCCGATCTAAATATTTACGTTGATTAATTATTAGATGGTGACCACTGTCCTGTTTACTTGGTCTTTAGTGGCGATTGGATTCTGTAAATCAATCTGCAATGTCATCAATATTCTAGGTAACTCAACATTAGGTTTTCTGTCGAACGCCTCCGATCACCTAATTTTGAAAAAAATGCTTATGATTTTTGATCTGTTATCCTGGAAGTTACATTACAACGTGATCAAAAGAATTCAGCTACCACTGAGCACTAAGCAAACATGATATTTGATCACTATTCAAATGGTTAGTCAGCGTTTTAGCATAAAGATGTTAGTTCACAAACAAATCTGAGTTACACAATCATAGCTATATATAGTGAAAAGAGAGTTCGGTTTGTTTGTATATTTGGATACACATAAATATGGTTATGAGATCAACAGGAAAAATATTGTTGAAATTCAAATAACTCTCATGTAGTTTTACAAAGTGAAATAAGTTGATGGATTACCGATATAAATAATTCGGAACTTTTTGGTAACGTACATCCTAGGACTAAAATAAGAAATTTCCGATAAGTCTGCAAGCCAGATGAAAACACGGATTTGTTGAACAAACTTTGAGATCATCTTCAATTATGTACGTTATGTATTATAGATAGAAATCTGGTAGAATAAATTTCAGTTACATGTATCATATTAAGATAATAGCATCAACAATTATCCAACTGTTTAGCAAACTAGAATGTCATATAAACCACAATAAAAACAGTAGTTTCAAATGTTTGGGCTACATACATAAATTAATTAAACTACATTTATACTATCGTAAGTCAGCAAAAAACGCAAAATGATTTGTCGCTGAACTTACTATGACGGTTACAAGAGCCGTAGTGGAATGTCTTTTCTCAGGTGGTACCGCTTGATCAATTGCAATCACAGCAAAATAATACACGTTTTGTTGTTCACAGTCTAGTTCCATGCGTGTTCTTAACTGACCACTAATTGGATCTATGTAAAAATTTTCCACATCTTTTTGTGTATCATAAGATAATGAGCGTTTTGTCTGATGTTCCACAATGTCTTCAGTGGAATTCTGCAATAATTTGCGGTCGTTTGAAATAGTAATGCTTTGTGTTTGATTTTTAATGAATAATAATAAACTTTGTTCATTTTCCTTCGTGTGATTTTGTACAAATTTGATATAGTCAGGGAGGTACAACGACTTCAATGAGTAAGCTATTTGTGCATTAGAACCTATGTCCAAGTCAGTAGCATGTATCACATTTCGATATGAGTTGACCATTGTTTCAGTGTTCGAATTTATCAGTGTGACAACTGTGTTTGCAGTGTTTTCTTTCACGTGACCTATATAATGTTCTTGAGTAAATTTTGGTGCATTGTCATTACGATCTTTCACAATGATATGTAACTGATTACGTCCAACTAAACTAGATTCTGTCATACCATCCTGACATTTAACTATAAGTGTATGCTGTGGTACAACTTCTCTGTCTAATAACATAACTGTTGTCAAGTCAAAAATTTTTCTTTTTTGTACAAGTCTGTTAGTGCTAACTTCTTTTAACTCAAATTGTTTACTTTTATTCCCTTCTAATGAACATTGAATACTGTTTAAATCATTATCTAAATCTGTTACATGCACATGACATAAGATTTGATTTTCTTTTGAATAATTGCTAAATTCATTTTCATAGATACTTATCTGAGCATAATTCGAATCTAATGGTTGACCTTGATGATAAAATTTTATTATTGGCGCATTATCATTCATATTTAAAACAGTAATTTTAATTTGAGCGGATGCTGACAACGGCGGATGACCTTGATCTACACATACTATTTCAAAAATGAAATGAGACTGTATTTCATAATCTAACGGCTGGCTAATTCTTAGACTAACACCTTCCACAGATGGTAATAACTGTATATGATTACGTAAATATTCTGGACTAACTTGATTCATTCCATTCACTGTACGTAAATAATAATTAAGTCGTGCATTCGAATCAATATCAGAATCATTTACATGAATATTAAGTAATGGTATACCAGCTTTGTTTTCATTCACTTCAATATGAAATTCAGATTTTTCAAACACTGGTGGATTATCATTTTCATCCAATATCTGTAAGAGATAAAAAGAAAGCCAGTAAACAATTAAATCTCAGTTATTTTCTCATTTTTTAAATTTCAAACTATCAACATTTAAAATTATTTTTAGTTTATTAGTTTGATTTTTCGGTAATATTGGTGATAAAAGCAAACTTTTACTTTAAAAAAATGACCATCTTGTATTTCAAGCTGATAGAAATGTAGAAAGTCCTACTGTGGACATTAAATATCAGAGAATTTATGAATGTCAATAATGTTAACTTTAAAATCTCCAAGTTAGAGGACTTTACGAAACGATTGACACAGAAATGAGTTCTAGATGGACTAAATGTTTTCAAAAGTAAACTATTGAAAATTTTTTAAGTAAAAATGAAATACTGCCAAAATGATAAGTTGGTGAGAGTAAGCACTGATCCTCTTAATAATGATTGTTTCATTATCAGTTTGAATTAAAAAGTCGTTTCTAATTTAAACTACTAAATCTTATTATTGAAATAATCACTATCCTTAATTAAAGGCAAGGGTAATGGTTTTAGGGCGATCTTATTCATTGATCAATGATTTACATATGTGTTGAGAACATCAAATAGCAACCTATCCAGACATTTATTTTACTATTTTTAAACGAATAGTATACTATTTTTGTACATGTAATGAATATTCGTTGTCATCTTGGCTCGTTATAGAAATATCCAATCAGAATATCTTATCTTAATTTTTGATTTTTCTCTCAAGCTTGTCTAATCAAAATGATCGTTCGTGCTTCCGATCTTTGATAATGTTTACCACTAACATTTTAGGCACAATAATATCAAGTGCAATATGATCCAGATAAGAATGTGAGATGTGTTTGGTTTTTTTACACTTATATAGTCAATCATTGGAAGATATTTAAATCTCAACTAATTCTTTATTCAATTATTGAAAATATAATTTAACTCATTGAATCCTTGTTTCATTTTCTCAATGATACCTTTTATCACCTTTGATTCATATTGTATGATATAATCTCGGTAATTTGAGAATATGAGTAATAATATCACTACCATGATTACTACTACCGATAATACTACTAATAATTATCATAGTTATAATGACATCATTATATGACAATAAAGTTAATTAAAGAGAAACATGCTCTATTTTAAAGGAGGATTTAATTAAAACAAAAATGTAACTATGAATCACAGAAGTAACGGAGTAAAGTTAGAAAAGGAAAAAAAACAATAACGACAATCAGATTTCTATGGGCTAGTGAACGTGTTTAAAGCATACACACGTAAAAATATAAACATGCCCGTATATACTGCTCTTACGCCTTCATATATCGCTTTTATAATAAGAGATTTTTCAGACTGTACATATTGTTTTTTTTATTTTCTAGGATTGCGTGTACAAAATATACTTTCGTCTATTTCTGTGTATCGAGATAGTTGTTTATCAATTTTTATTATACTCATTATCCATTATTTCTGCTTTTCTATAACTGAAACGGAAACAGAAAATGTCTGTGAGCAGTAAAATTCTCATTACTTCCTTTCTTCTGTCTATCCATCTTTACGTCAAACATCATGGTCTATACACTACTATCTGCATAAACATTGTAGTATTAATACATAAACACATAAACATATGTGTACACAGATTACAGTTTAAATATAGAATGTCTTAATGAAGGAATTTCGCAATAAAGGGCGATTCAAGGAAGATAACCATTTACTATAAAGTGGTCGGAATATGAGTCATCCAAATAGTCTGTAGAATAGAACTGTATCGTCTAATGCTGTCCATCAAGAACTGTCTAATTTTACAATAAATCGCTTTCTTAATTTCAGATTCTCTTTAACACCGTCAGGACTTACTAATAAGTACAATGTAAATGCCTATCAGACATTAATTTAAATCTTTAGAATATTTTATATGGGTCCTCATAGCCCTAACACAGTTGTATGCTGTTTGACATTCACCAAAATAATATATATGGTTGGTTTATTCATTTCAGCTTAATACATTTACATAACTACTGGATGAACTTGTAAAAGAACAACCTGAAAAAACAACCAGTATACCTATAAAACTGTCCATAAATATTGCTATCAGTTAATAACTAAAGTGACTGTGTTTAAGGATATAAGCATAGATTCATATTAGATCATTATTTTTCTTACTAAGTTATTGTAATTCAGTAGTTTTGTTGTAAAGTGCATTCAACTTCAGTTTGACTGTAATATTCATCACTTATCAAACTCATATTAGGCTCTTCAATATAAGACTTATTTCTGCAAAATTTACTAAGATTTAATTACAACAATACTACTGATAAGTTCATTTCCACTTCAAAAGTTAATTTATCGGTAATAGTGACTCTTGTCGATAGTGTTTAAATTTCGAGTCAAGTTTTATTTCCTAATGGGTTTAGTATACGTAGACATTAAATTCATTCATCATACATTGATAATTCTAGCTTGCTTTAGTTAACAAACAAATCAAATCTGGTTTATTTCGTAACCAGTGTTGAAATCTCCAAGTTAATAAAATATATTCATTTACAAATATTTATGAAAGAAAAGAACATGCTCTTCTGAAGTACACTAAGCATAAATTAGTTTTGAATGAAACAAACTCGTGGTTCCAATTACACCACAGTCAGTGAATCATAAAATTGCATTTTTTTTTTCAATAGTAAATAAAGTAAATTCACTGAAGCAGATATATGAAATTAGGTTGAGAGATTTTGAATGAGAAAAATGGTTTTCCTTATTTTTATTAAAGTTCAACTTTTAACCTTTAATCAACAAACTGCATGTATCCATCTGTCATATGCAAAATCAATTTATTTGGTAAACTCTCATAAATTTTTATTAAAATCATTTGATAATGATTTTAAGCAAAAATGGATAGTGGCTAGCAGTAGAATCCAGGGCGCACGTTTCGTCCCATTTAGGATTCATCAGCTGGATGCACCTCCATCCCATAGTTGATGCTCACTCCGGGACTCAAAGCCAGTACCGATCGCTTCAAATGCCATCGCGTTGTCCACTTAGCTAATGAGTCCTGCTAATTTGATAATGAATTTTTAAGTGTACCCGAAATGTATAGTGAATTAGTTTATTCACTTAATTATACTGATCACTAGAAAAAACCCATCTAAAAATATATCTATCTCAACTCATAAGTCATTTAGTATATTAATCCTATGAAAGGTAAATTTTCAGGAATGAACTAAATCTTAAATGTCATATAACATTATTACTAATATAATATTATATAGATCAGTTACATTCTAAATAATATAATGAATCCATATTCCTATTTACATAATGATTATACATATTTTTCTATCCCAGTTATTTTCATTATTATTTAAATAAAGGTTATTATTAAATCGAACTTTAATGACTTGAAATTCTTCAATGTGTTCAATCAAATGTAATAAATCTCCTCACTGATACTTTAGATTTATACTTGAGACTAATTAAAACGTAAATTCAAAGTAAATTAAGGCTAATGAATTAGGTTATTCTAGTAAAGTTTTAGAATAATTTTTGTTGTTGGACAGCTTTTACATTTTATTATGAGAAATGTCAAATTAAATCAAAATAGATGATCATATCAAATGTAATATTTAGTTCATGCTTAACTGATAATAGTTTTATACCTAACTTCTTCGTTAAAATGAACATGTTAAAATAATTACTAGGTGGTTTTTTAAAGCTCATATCAATCTTAAGACTCAGTAACTAAGTGGACAACGCGATGGCATTTGAAGCAAACGGTACTGGGTTTGAGTCCCGGAGTGAACATTATATCTGAGATGCAGGCATGTCTAGCTGACGACTCCAATATAGAACAAAACTCGTGTCCTGGATTCCAGTGCTAGCCATTATCCATCTTTGCTTTAAAAGTTTGTGATTTAAGACTATATCTAAGCAGTCCGCACAGGATGCACATATGCCAACAATAGACTGATCAATTGCAGCCCTAAATAACAATGCGAAGATTCAGGTTAAAAAACAACACCAAATGAATAGAAACCTAATTAGTTTTAATGTTGATGGTTTTAGTTACAAAAAAATTACAAGAGACCGATTGCCTTTTATCATCGTTGCCTTAACTACAATTGAAATCTAGAATTAACATTATGATACTTAGTTATAAGCCTTTCACTATTTAGAATAAGTATAGGTCATATAACTGTCATAAGTACTATCTTCATTTCAGGTTACTGAATAGAAAAGGGGAAGTTAAGTAACATTTAGAAGTGAAATCATAGAATGTATTTAAAAATAAAGCCAAAATGTCAGTGAAAACCTTCACTCATTAGATGATGCGTATTTTATAACTGATCTTTAATATCAAGATAACATTATATTACTTTCAATTATTTTTATTAGCAGCTGAATGCGGTAAACAGTATTTATTTTTTTGTACAGGTATCACCTTTAAATCTTTTCTACTTAAATATAATATTTGTGTACAAATGTGAACAAATGAATGGCACAGAAGGCCGTCATTATTTACCAAAGAATCGCAGTTTAATTTATTTTTGTCTAACTCTTTAATGATTGTACAAAATTAGTATTTTGTCGGGGTTTTTTCAAAACTACAAGAGGTTATCGCTTCGTTCTTGTGACAGCTTGACTCAAATCAATTAAAAACGTAGTTAGTATCATATTTCCTTCCAACATACCTATATATTATTCGAGAATAAACCTTTTGAGGCATGTCTATTAGTCGGTACATATAATAAGCTTTTGTCGACACTCTGTTCGATTTTAAAAGGGGCATATTACAGAAAGTTCGGAACACTAGCTATTTATAATTAAAATCATTTATGTCTTAATCCATTACTAATTAAACTATCTGTAAACTTTCATCTGGCTGATTAAGGTTGAATTGTTCATCTCCTACCATTTACCTTGTAATAATACTGCGTGAAATACTCGGTGAAAGTAAACAAATTTCTACATTCTCTCTACCAACTATGAATAAAGATAACTAACATACACTATG